GCTTTATTCAAATAGATATGGATAAATAAATGTAGATAGTAACAAGTTGTGAAAGACATATAAAAAATATAGAATTATCGACATACTGAAAGGATTGATCTAAACAGATAAGTATAAACAGAAATATGCCTGTATCAACTTAGCAAAATGTCTATCTACAAACTGAATGAAAGGCTTATGAAAAACTGAAATGAAAGCTTTGAGTTGTACCGTTATTCAAATATTGTCAATGAAATTGAGACGGGTTGATTTAGAGGGAGTGATTGATATATAAAGACTGAAAATAAAAGGATATGACCAACAGGCACACTAAGTAATATCGATCTATCCAGAATGATCGAAATATGAACAATAGGATTGATCGAAATAAGAATTGATAGATTTTGATATAAATGTGAAAAACTAAGAAAAACTGATATATAGAGTTATAGAAATGTATGAAATTAATGATCGCTTTAAATAGACGAGGAGAGATTGCGAAATTTGTATATCTACAGATTGCAAAGTATATGAACAAAATGAACACTTATCGAAGTAGATGTACTGTGATATACTTTACGAAACTGAGAAAGTCTTACATACAAGCATACATATATACATACATATATACAGACACACACACACACACACACACACACACACACACACACACATATATATATAAACTGATAGAAAGGTCTATAAATCTATAAATAGACTAAAATGTAAGAATTGAGTACTATCTATATGGACATAGTGATGAAAGGTATTAACAGGCAGAGAAAATCTGATATGCACGAATTGAGTGATAGCAAAATAAGCAAACTGGAATTGAAGCATTGGTCTAAACTGGCTAGAGATAGATGTACACAGATTGATTGAAAGGGATATTAACAGCATAAAAAAGGAAGTATATATATATATATATATATATATATATATATATATACAATTAAAGAGAAAAAACAAATTATGAATCCACAGTTCTTTGAATTGTACCGTTATTCAAATATTGTCAATGAAATTGAGACACATTGATTTAGAGGGAGTGATTGATATCTAAAGAATGATAAATAAAACGATATGAACAACAGGCACACTAAGTAATATCGATCTATCCAGAATGGTCGAAATATGAACAATAGGATGTACACAGACTGATTGAAAGGGATATTAACAGCACAAAAAAGGAAGTATTGATCTCTATATATATATATACACACACACACACAAAGAGAAAGAACAGACAGATTAAGAATCCACAATTCTTTAGCATTTACTTTTTTTTTTAAGTGCTCGATACAACGTAGAGCATAATCTACTATTTATATTTCTCATGTTGTCTGTCTGTGTGTCTGTTGTGGGCGTTGTGCTCGCCCAGGCCGCATTTCTCACCCGATTTCGATGCGGTTTTCAACACAAGTTTGCAAATGGCTGCCGTAAGGACATGATGGAGCTCGATTTTTGAGTTTGGAATCAGTTTCGGAAAAAATCGATAATTGAAAAAATCGATAATCGAAAAAACCGATAATCGAAAAAACCGATAATCGAAAAAATTCTGCTTACAGAAGTAATGATCGCATTTCAACCAAATTTGACACCCTCTTAGAGTCTACCATTAGAAGTGTTGTCCAGAAGTTTCGTGAGCACGGACCCCTAAACAGCGCGGAAAATCGATAAAACCCCAAAACCGATACGCCCAGATTGCGTATGAACCGCATGTCGGTTTTTAGCGAAAACCGAGCGGATTTATGACGAGGCCATTGGGAGTCATCATGTGAAGTTTCAACTCTGAGCACCCCCCAAACAGAGTGCAAATCGACAATCGGTAAACCCTTAAAAATGTTTTTTCCGGTTTTTTAAAGCTGATCGTATTGTGTTTATTTTGTTTCGTTCTTTTTTCTTAACAGATTTAATGTTTACTATAGAGCTTAGAAAAAGTTGGCAGTGTGATATAGGCAAGAAGTAAGGCATGTAACAACATCAGCACGCCAAAGGGCACTCCTCTAAAGGCAAGGAAGGGCAAAAATATTTTTAGTCAAGTGATAGCGATTGCTGTATTAGTCGTACTATTTTTGAATCAAGCACTTGGCAACGCAGGGCCATGCATCTAGTATTTTAATAATATTTTTATTTAAAATATTTTACATCGCTATATATATTTCGGAACTTAAATTTGTTCCGTCAACAGGCGATGTTCGGTAACTTATGATGAAAATGATTTACTTTTGAAAACAGAAAACAATACGCTGGCTTATTTAAGAGTTAAAAAGGAGAGAACAAGATTTCAAAATTTTTGCGGGTATGTCAAGGTTAACCAATCAAAAGACAGTCAAGGCTAAAGCAGAAAAGTGAGATGTTAGCGGTTAGTGTTATTCATGTCTAGATGAACTGACATTTTTAAGACGCGTCACCATTAGCTTACATCCGGTTCTGAATAAAACTTTAAGATCTATTGGAATACTTGGGTAGATATGAAAATTAGATATACTAATATATATGGATTGGTTGAAAGGATACAAATAAAGCATTTTGTAAAATAAGTTCTGACAGCGCGATGCAAATGTGGACAGGTTGATAAAGAATATGTAAGTGTTTGAAGATGATAGGAATAAACAGAATGTGAGATATGGGCCTAATAAGCACAGTTTAAGAAATTGCTATATTATTGAAATGATGCTGATACGTAATAAAGTATCGAAATTAAATATATATCTAAATAAGATAGATATTCATTGTGAGAACTATGGCGACCTGATTGAGAGTGATAAATATGAAAAGATTGCTAATTAGAAGCAGACCAAGTTAGATCGATGAACAGATAAAAATGGTTAGTTGATTCATATTCGGTTTTGATATGAATTTAATTTCCAGGCAGCAGCATTATGTAATGGATCATATTTTTCTGTATTCAATGAGTAAATGATGTCTTAATGAAAATAGAAGTGTATGAGAGAAAAAGAGAGAGAGAGAGAAGTAACGTGATAAAGAGAGAGAGAGAGAGAGAGAGGGGGGGGAGGAAGAATAAAGAAAAAAGTGACGATGACAGAAAGAGCGAAAGGAAAGATGGAAATTCTGAAGTGTGAGAACAAATGAAAGAGAGAAGGGAAAAGAATAGTATGAAAGATAGATGAGGAAGCCTGAAAAGAAGAGAAGAAGCGAGACAGAGAGTGGGGGATAAAAAGGGAGACAAATACAGCGACAAAATATATGTTACGAGTAAAACAGAAAAAAGAAAGGAAAGACGAGGGAGGGGAGAGAGAGAGAGAGAGGTGAAGATAAGAATAGAGAAAAAAGGAAATAAAAAGGAGAAAATATATAGCGGGGAGAGAGAGAGAGAGAGAGAGAGAGAGAGAAAGAGATAGAGAAAGAGAGAGAAATAGAGAGAAAGAGAGCAAGAAAATGATAGCTAGAGAGATAGAAAACAGAAATAGAATAGCAGTGATGGAATGAATATAAAATCGAGTTATAAACACAGACAGAAATAAATAAAGTGAGAGGAAGTGGTGGCTGGAATGAGAGAGAATGAGTATAAAACAGTGAGAAAAAAGAGGAAGAGAGAGAGAGAGAGTGTGACAGAGAAATAGACAATGGAAGTAAAACATTGAGTTATAAAGTGGATAGAACGGAAATAAAACAGAGAAATAAGAGGTGGGAGAGATAATGGTGTGAGAGAGATCACGTAAATGCAGATGGAGAAAGTAAGATAGAAAGGGAGGCAGAGTAGAAATAATGAAGAAAGTGAGAGACAACGGGAAGAAACAAAAACATATAAAGAAGAGAAAGGTGAAAATGGAAATTAAAGAGAGAGAGAGAGAGAAAGAAGGAGAGAGAGAAGGAGGGAGAGAGAGAGAGCAGTGGAAGGACAGAAGAAAAGAAAGGAAGGGAGAAACATATGCGTAATCGAATATTAGTCAAAGACAAAATGGAACAAATATTTTCAGTTTTTAATCATAGGGAAGGACTTGAGAGCACTTATATGCTTATGGAACATGCGAAATCATTAGTTGTGTGTTACATTTAATGATTTTACAAGTCGCTTAAAAATACGAATCGATTTCTATAGATTACTAAATGCAACAAAACTAGAATAAAAATGAAGTGCATATATCAGGTGAAACTTGCTGTGAGGTGATGGTTAACGAATTCTAGTGTACTCGATCCTCACTTGGTGCTCCACATGACTAGCCTTATGCCAAATAAGCTTACATACAAGAAGGTAATAAAAAGTTCGTGTAGCTTATGATATGAAATGGCTTCTACAAGAAAGAAATATTTATAGAAAATGAAGTTCTTTATTTTCAGTTGGAGTGATTTTAAGACATAAGAAATGTCCGCTGAGACACGGGAGGAATGTATTGAATAACATCATTTGATAACTGAAGTTCAAACTGGTGTACACAAAAAGACACATAGTCGAATGAAGGGCAAAACATAATCTGGTCACTCAATTTCGCCGTATGATCTACTGGAAAGAAAAGGAGAACTAATTGAAACTAATTCCTTTTGGTTATTTATTTATTTACTTCTTTGCAAATAATTATTATAATATAAATTCTATAAATAGTGACTAGACTTCAATGTAACAACTGCATTTAGCAGTTTTTAAACGAATAATAATAATAATAATAATAATAATAATTGTCAAAATACAAGGATCTTGAAATAGAAATCTCGAAAATATGGCATATGGGAACATCAACAATCCCTGTTGTAGTTGGAGCCCTAGGACTGGTTGGAAAAGATTGCAGTAGACTAATTGAAGGGATTCCTGGAAGTCCATGCCTCAAGGAGATACAAAAAATTGTTCTGACAAGTACAGCACACACCTTACGAAGGGCTTTATCTATGTAATTTAATTTTTTTTTTTCAGTGGAAAGTGTCATGACGCCATTTCTAACCTTAGGTCCCTGGGCGGGCCCCGGAAAAAATGTGTAAACGCCAGAAATCAAAGAAAATAAAAATAATAATAATAATGAGTACATAACAGAGCTTCGAAGACACGCATCATTTTATTTTAATTCGAAGTGCTATAATAATAATAATAATAATAATAATAATAATAATAATAATAAACGAAATGGAAATACTCAAACAGCCTCCCCAATCCAGTGGAGTTAAATGTGCCTAGGGATGGATGGCACTTGATGAAAAGCATCCCGAACAGATCTTCAGGAAAGGCCTTACCCAATGTGCCATACAACTTCGTATTAAAAATTAGGCCCTAGATGCCATTCATGAATACTGGCTCTGAAACACAAAATAAAAAACCTTCGTCCATAGAATGCGTTTCTTCTGAAAACAACTGGAGCTGGTACCGAGTTAAAAAAAATCAACAAACAAATCTCACTCTCCTCAAGAACAGGCTGCAAATCAGACCAGAGTGTTCCTAAATTAGATGCATATGTTCAACCATCAAAATCAACCAACAACAAAGTAAGCATTCGACAAAAATAGACAAAGGAAGAATATGTGGAAATTATTTATGCACGTAATTTTGCAACATTACGCCCATATATAACAACCGGTTCAAAAGAAACTTACAACATATGGAGAATAAGAAATTCAGATCCACCTGGACAGAAACGCAATTATTAAAATGAAATTCTCAGTGGAGAATGAGCTCGTAGCTTCCCAACCAAATTTATGCACAAACGAATCTACTTCTGCTGTTAATGAACCAACTGATGAACTTTCAAACCTGAAATTTCTAAGATTCAGGAAGAATCGCACAAAGAGGTTATTGAAGAAATCACAACTCTAAGTGACCAAGATGACATTTTAATGAACGAAAGTTTGAACCAGTACCTAAACATCACTTATCAACATGACAGACCATCTCCATCGAAGATAAAAAAATACAACGAAAAAAATAAAGCGGTAATATTAAACGTAAATAAATCCGTTGAAAACTTATCCCAACCATACGCGCAAACCATAAACTGATTGTTCTAAATAACCTAAGATATTCTGCTGCATCCAAAGAATTCTGACGGAAATTCAAGAAAGCAGAAACAAAAAATGGAATGTCCATAAAAATCCGATGAGGGTTGAATGAGTAAAGGGACAAATGAACCAAGAACTAGCATCTCCTTTTTTAATGAAGCACAAATCGAAGAAAAGGTCAAAAGAAAATAAACTCTAAAGAATCACCACAGAATATAACTTGCCCAGAGTTAACATTATCAATCAAATTGAATTCCTTAAGCAAAAACTTTATCTAAAGGCCAAACGTCTGATAAGATATAATAAGAAACAAACTGACGAGATATAAACTTTTTAAAGAAGAAATTTTGTAGAGAATTTGGTAAGGAAAACATTCAATAGAAAACATTTGCAAAACATCTGGGATGACCTCGGACGCATTAATGCGGATTTACAGTGGAAAGGTGACCAAGAATATATGACCGATAATGTTGAAACTCAAAATAGTTTCAGACATTACTGCAGAGGATCACTTCTAGCAAAGTCCCAGAAGTAGAAATCCCCCGAGATAGATAAAGTTCCCAATTTTTAGCCTCACTCTCTACCAAGTATCCATAATTTATTGGCCAATATCTACTCTGAGATAACGGATAATTCTGAGACATAAGGCTTAACTTACCTGCTTTCCAAAATTGCAGAGACAAAGATTCCCCAAAATGACAGGCCTACTGCATAATTAACCACTGCCTACAAAATCCCGAAATCAATAATCAACAACAGAACCTAATTATTCCTGGTTGTAAATAACCTTTTTTTACTGAAGAACAAAAGGAATGCAAAAAAGAGTTATATGGAAGCAAAGTTCAACTCCTGATTCACAAATTCCTAATTGAAAACTAAGAATTCATGTAGAAACCTAAGCACTGTTTGGATAGATTCCAAAAACGCTTTTGATAGGCACCCCCACTCTCCATGACTGGATCATTAAAACTTTACAGATTTATAAAATTTCATCCCAAATCATTGAATTTATTAAGACCATACTGAATAAATGGAAGACATCTCTCATAGTTAACAACACAAAAGGGGATATTAAAATAAAAAATCTAAGCATCAACTGCGGGATATACAAAGGGGGTTCACTTTCACCTCTCCTCTTCTGTCTTGCTCTTTTTCCTCCGTCCAAATTGCTCAACGACTCAAACAAGGGCTACTAAAATCTACAAATATACCATTAACCACCTTTTCTATATGGATAACCTCAAGTTTTATGCAAGAAATGACGAGGCTCTGAAATCCTGTTAATAATACAAGATTCCGGAATGGAATTTGGTCAGGACAAGTGTGCCAAGGTGACGTTTAAAGCAAGGAAGTTTGTTAAATTTAGAAATATAGTGCCAGACATTAGCACCTTCACCAGGAACCTACAACAAGTGTTCAAGTAAGAAATGGCGTACAGCGCTCAAAAATAAAGAAAATAATGCTACCATAGAGTGAGTTTGGTTCTTCAGTCAGAACTGAATTCATCGAATAGAATAGACGCAGTAAATTCGCTGGAAATACCCGTTGTTGCCTAAAGCTTTGACCAAAATTGAACTTTAGTGATATAGCAGGCATTGATTCCAAATTACTGATGTTGATTGAATATACATCCATAGGAAAGCTGATTGGTAATAACACATTAAGTTAGAAATATCTTTGAAAACATCAATCAGAAGCCAAGTAAAATACTGAGTAACGACACAAGATAAGTATCTGAAAACTGTACTCAAGCATGACGTGCTAAGAACACTTCGGCCATTAAACATTGGAACATCAACTTCTTAGATGTAATTGATACTCAAGAGGACAAGTATCCTGAACACTCCCCACGCCCTGGCGACAACAAAGAAAATTAAGTAATTGGCGAAAAGTGCTTATATGAAGACTCTTGAACAAAAATGGAGTTCTAGACAGTGGTACAGTTGTATGGAAAGTACCCAAAGCATCTGGATGAACCAGACATCGATGTTTGTTAAACCCTTTAAATCCTTAAAAGCGGTGGTCTTAAGGAAACAGAAGTTTATTATAACAGCACAAGACAATGTCATCAAACTAATGCCTACAAGGCTAAAATCAAAGGTGGCTTAAATCCTGCCTGTTACTTATGACAAAAATTTGATGAAACTGATGACCACATAGTCTCATGGTGTCCAGTCCCTACTAAGAAAGAATATATTATTAAACATGACAAAAGTTAGGACAATATATTCATTGACATGTCTGTCAAAACTATGGTATTGAAGTCCCGAATACATTGTACAAACACCAGCCGAATAATGTTACAAATGGTGATGGAGTGACTATAATGTGTAATTTCCCAATCCTCACAAACAGGAAAACTGATACAAATAGTCCATAAATAGTCATAAAAGATTTCAAAAAATGAACTTGCCAACTAAATCCACAGAATTTCAATATTCCTAAAACAGAATTTTAAAACTGCCAATTTATAAGGACCTGCAAATCGAAGTAACAAAAATGTGGAAACGTAAAACTATAATTATTCCTGTTGTGATAGGGCGATTGGGTATAATAAAGAATGGTACCAAAAATCATGTAAGTAAAATTGCTGGACACATCAGCATCTCAGAGCTACAAAAGATTACTTTGTGCGGAACTGCACATATCACCCACAAAAACATCTTAATCTAAACGAAACGCCCCAGATGTGCATAGATAACTCTCCTACAGTCGCCCTTTTTTACTCATAGACTCAGGAGGAATGTTGGTAATTAGGCGCTTAAAATTATTCTCTTGAAAGATGAAACCACACACACAATAATAATAATAATAATAATAATAATAATAATAATAATAATAATAATAATAAATTCAAACGCACAATACAACTACTGAAGCTGCAAAATACTTAAAAAAAGAAAGCAAAGGTAAATGCAACCGACCAGATACAGAAACGATGGCAAGATAAACCACTTCACGGCCAATACTCTGCCCGTACGTAACAAGCTGATGTAGACAAACCCAGTACTCATCAGTGGCTACGCAGTGCAGGGTTAAAAGCTGAAACCGAATGTTTTATCCTTGCTGCACAGCTTGTTAACTAGAAATTATCAAGCACACATACTAAAATATTGTGTTAGCCCAAAATGCAGATTATGTGATAAATATCCAGAAACAATTGATCACCTTGTATCTGGCTGTAAGGTATTGACACCCAATGAATATAAAACCTGGGATGACAGAGTGGGCCAATATCTGCACTGGAAAATCTGCAACTTCTACGGGAAAGAAACTGAAAGAAATTGGTATGAACACCAACCAGACCCGGTTACGGAGATAGGATCTGTTACAATTCTATGGGACTACACAATACACACTGACAGAAAAATCAAAGCTAATCGCCCATACATTGTTATTAGAGTCGGCAAACAAAACAAATGCATATTTATTGATATGGCAGTCCCTGCAGACGTCATTGTATCTTTAAAGGTCTCCAAAAAGCTATCAAAATACAAAGACCTTGAAATCGAAATCTCAAAAATGTGGCACATTGGAACATCAACAATCCCTGTTGTAGCTGAAGCCCTCGGATTGGTTGGAAAAGATTCCAGTAGACACATTGAAGGGATTCCTGGAAGCCCCTGCATCAAAGAAATGAAAAAATTGTTCTCACGAGTACAGCCCACACTTTACGAAGGGCTTTATCTATGTATGTGTGTTGTTTTTTTTTAACTGGTCAGTGGAAAATGTAATGATGCCATTTCTGACCTTAGGTTTCTGAGTGGGACACAGACATCAATGTGTACACACCAGAAATAAAAGGAAATAATAATAATAATAATAATAATAATAATAATAATAATAATAATAATATCAAAGTGCACAAATAATAGAATTCCTATATATGTGCTGGTGATTTGAGAAGACATGCTGCCATCAGATGTTCAGAACATTCACCAGAATGAACACAGTCAGGGATTAAATACAATAATAATAATAATAATAATAATAATAATAATGATGTTACGAATGCAAATATCAAATAAGCAACCCACATAAAATTTAGTATAAAATACATGCATTTTGTTTTCATTAAAAAAATTGGTATTTACCATGTAGTTGTTTAACAAGTAGTTTCTCTTTGACGTTTAGTCGCTTCCATATCCTTTCTTTTGAAGATATTTCGCAAAACTGGAATCTTAAAAAAACATTTTAAAACACAAACTTTCTTTTTTTCCCTTTTTACAACATTTTTCTTTCTTTTCATTTTTCACTTTTTCTTTTCTTTCTTTCTCATTTTTATTGCTTTTTCTAACATCTTTATTCGTTTCTGTCTTTTGTCTTTTGTCGTTGCTCACTTTCTTATCTTTTCCATCTCATTTTTTGCATTTCGTCCTTTTTCTCATCTTTCTTTCGTCATTTTTCTTTCTTTAATATCTTAATTCTTGAATGTTTAAAGCAAAAACTCATCTATTTTTATTTAGTAATTCAGTATTTTTTCAGTTCATTTTAAACACTTTCTTTCTTTCTTTCTTTCTTTCTTTCTTTCTTTGCTTGCTTTCCGTTATTATTTTGAAGTATTTTTCAGTTAATTTTACACGTTTTTTCTTTCTTTGTTTTCGTCTTTTTCCTTTCTTTTTAGTCTTAGATTTTCTCACTTATTATCTATTTCTTATTTGCCGCAGAACAATTTGAATAAATTCTCGAAGAAAAATCTACTCGATGGGTCATTCAATCCTGACAGAGTTTCCTATTTCTTTGGCGATGTACCAGACCAAGCTACTTTTATTTCCATGATGTTTATGTATCTCAATCTTTCTTTTTTATCTGTCATTCATTAAATTGTTCATACTTATTTTTCTATTCTTATTCCTTTCTTTTTAAAGCTTTTCTTTCGTTTCTTTCTTGTTCTCCTCTCATTTACTCTCTTATCTTACTTTCTCTTCAACCTCCTCCTCCTTTTATGTTTCATTGTCAGATTTCTCCTCCTCAATTTCTTCTCCAACTTCACTTTTTCATTCTCAGAAGAACCTCCCCCGGCAATTCTCTCCCACGACTTAATTTAATTCTTTGCCTAAACATTTTATTCTTTTTTCACCTCTTTCGCCAGAAACAGGTGTGTTTGACATAAACAAAACCCTACATTCGTGTCCAGCCGTGTTTCTTGGAATGCGCCGGTCACTGGTCATCTTTTCGATCGGCTCTCTCTTATCCAGTCCAGTGGGTCCTACTTCTGTGACGAACAGATTGGTGTCTACTCATGAGTTACATGTCCACTTACAAGCGACAATAGACATCTGGACGTGACGCATCCGTTCTGCGTTTGGAAAACCTACGACAGATTTAACAACTGCTTTATTCGCTTCAAAAGCTTTCAATTGGAAATTTTTCAACCGAATTCCATTCAGTTAATAAAAAAGCAGTTAATGAACCACTTGTCGCCTTTATAAAGAGAACCAAAGATTTGATGGACGCTATGTCTGTCATCATTTTTTGTATGTTTTATTTTATTTGTTTCACGCACTCCCACGCACCCCCACTCACAACCACATCGAAAGACATAGACTTATTTCTACACAAAACCAAATGAATGTTAGTAGGTGGTAGGAAGATTGAGTGGCGCCAAAATTCTTAGAGAGTGCCTACTAGTTTATTTTGAAATTAATATTGGAAATTTTACCTTCCAAAACTTTAATCTACATTTGGCCTTTTGCCTTACAAATCTAGATTTAGTAAATATCAGGAAATATACGAGGTTTGTCCCGAAAGTATACAGTAATTTTTATGTCACTTGGCGGCCAACCAGAGAGGATCCTTATCCGCATGTGTGAAGTAAGGTGCCAGATCTAGTGTACTCTATAACCGTAGTCGGCCCATTGTTCGCGTCGATTGTAGGGTACTTTTTGTAAAATAGAAGATCAACAACACTTATTAACTTCTGTTAAAATCCAGATCTGTTTTTTTCCAAACATAATATTGCCATAAATGAGAACCTGACGAAGCGAATGGTGGCAATTTCGAAAGACGGTATGCACGATGTTTATAAAAGTTGAAATGATGCTGAAATAAGTATGTACTTTGAAAAGGAATAACGTGCCATTAACCTAGGTAAGTTTCTCTTTCCTCAATAATAAATAGGAAAATCTTTCGAATGTTAGAACCAGTAAACTATATTCCAATTACTTCTTTGCGTAAATATCGGTTGGAAACTGCTTAATGACGTGCACAGTATAAAGAAACAGATCTTTGCTAACAACTTGCGTTTTTTATCGAATAACATGCATTGTTATTGCTGTAAACTCAGCTTCATTTTCTTTTTTTGTATGTAGAAACATAAGGGTAATGTAAGTTCTGGGTTCAACCCACTTAAGATCTGATCAACTTATTCAACATTAAAATTAATTTTGAAGAGACTTCTTGGTCGAGTCTTTGTATTTATGAGCGAAATTTTTCTTCAAATAATTCAAAAATGTTTACCAAATGTTTCACATACCTATCATTTTTGCTATCAACATCAATCTTTTTATATCAATTCAGATTTTTCATATGTATCTACATATCGATGGCCATCAAGCCTAGCGTAGAATGGTACAAGACCAAATGGTAGGAAATGAAAAAGGTAAAGATCGAGTGGATTTTCGAACCGGAAGAATTAATTCTGTTATAGGAATCAATATTAGAAAGCCTCACATCTACCTGAGTTCAAATTTGACTTTTAACATGGTCGAAAACCACAAGGTATGGTGTAAAAAATAAATACTATTAAAAATTATTGAGGAATTAAGAGTTGGAATTAAGGAGCCTTGATGTCATTTGATCTTTGTGATACTTGTCCAGCCAATCAGACTTATCAAGTAGGTCACTCGTTGTTTTCTACTGCATCTGTTGCCTTAAATAGATCCTGTGAATGAGTTTTAAAATCTTCAAGCCTTCATTATGTGTTTCAAAATATCAGTTGTCTGGTTTGGATTATTTGTATCAACGATCTTGTATTTCCTATTTTTCTCCAAACTTCCTTATTATACACATACGGTAAAATATTTTAGTATATCCAAGTTTTTGTCTCTTCAAATCATTTCTTCACTGTGACAAAATAGTCCAGCATTCAATGTCATACAGGAGATTAGATATTATATATCAGTCCAACACTCTTTTCTTTGTTTCTAAGGACATTTATGTCTTAATATTTTGCTTAGTTTCTAAAAGGCACCTTCGATATTCCTATGCGCCTTCAGATTTCTGTTTCACATCTTCTGTCCTTTGTTATTATACTACCCAGATAGTTAAAATTCACACCCCTTTGATTTTTACACCTCCGATATATAACACCCACATTGAATTGTCCATTTTGCTGAAAACTATGCATTCTGTCTTTTTTAAGTTAATGTTTAATCCTTCTTGCTTTCATTGGCTATTTTCAGTTTTCCTTTCTAAATCTGATATTAGCACAGTTACGTCTGTGTGGCGTATGTTGTTAAGATTACGTCTACCGATAGTAAATCCCAATAAGCCTTCTAGTTCTCTTTGCTGGTCAAGTAAAATAAATGCAGCGTGAAAACTACTTAGTTATACTGCTTATTCTATTTTTGTGTATTTAACTCGTTTGTTCCAAGTACAGATTACGGAAATTTCTTCGTCGTCCTTTATCGGACGCCTTTTGTATAATCTTAGAAACATAGGAAAGAATCTTACTGCATTTCTATTGCTCGCTCTGATAGGATTTTGATAATGGAAATTGAATTTTTTTTTTTTTGTTCCGGTTTCTTGAAGAAAACTACATTGTCTTTGCCATATTTCTGGTTAAGCTCTATTCATCAGAAATTTAATTATTATTAGTTTTATCATAAATCTGATTGTTCGAATTTACGCCTTATTTCTTTGGTTGATCTCTGATGACTTATTTACCAAGGTCCTCCTGTATTTCGCCGCTGTCATATATTTTGTTTACGTCGGTATCATTATCAATCATCTAAATCAATTAAGTCTGTCAGTACCTCTGCTAAACTCTCATCTGATGATCCTTTTCATCTTGGCAAGTGGTGATTTAACCTTGCATTTTAATACAAAGTATGTTTTAGGTTTTTATTTTCTGTTCTAATGGAAGTGCTCTCCTATCTCATAATTCCATCCCGATAGTAACTTTTCATGCTCTGTTATGATTGTTTTTTCTTTTGGTCTTATATATCCTGCAGACAAGCATCATTTGTATAAGTTTTCTAAATCTATGTTATGCAATTTTTTGATCACCGCACATTTCACTTTTGCTTGCTTGTATTTAGATCTTATTTCAGATGCTCTGTACAATTTCTGAGGCTTCTTCAATGTTTGTAGTTTTTATCTATTTTTTTTTATATAGTTGTATATGAGTTGGAGGTGATCCCTCCCGCAATCGGCGTTTGGGTATATTTTACTGTGTAAAATTACATTTCTAAATCGTCTCTTGTTGATTAAGTAGTCTATTTGGCTTTTAATAACTCTTTCCGGTCATTTGCAAGTCCAAAAACGTTTTGCGTATTCTTTAAATTCAAGTCAATTGTTGGTTATTACTTGGCAATTCGCTGCGCATTGATGAACAGATTTTTCACCATGCTCAGAATCCATGATTCAAGTCTCCATACTTATTAACCATTTTACAATCTTGTTCTATTTGCATTCTCTTTATAATAATAATAATAATAATAATAATAATAATAATAATAATAATATATTTTGACTTTGATATTTGGAATTTTTTATTGCTTTTTTTTACTAATATTCACTCAATACAAGGCCCAGTAGAGGGTTACTGGATGAGGTTGTTGTATGAGCGGTAAGAAAAGTAGGCAAGAAGAAAAATACAGTTAATCTTGAAGAGATTAAGAGTGTAGGGACCAGGAAAGAATCCTCTTGGGAGTCTGTTCCACAAATTAGCGGTTCTTGGGAAGAAGCTGTTTTACTAATGGGATGGATACGAAGGTAATGAGGATGGTTCATCCCAGCGTACCTGGCGTGGTGAGTCTTAACTGTGACGGTCAGAACTGGTGTAACTAAGAAATATAATTTATTAGAATATTTTCCCTGGAAATAGCGATAGAATCACAAGAAATTTGTCTGTCTCTGAAAAAGTGGGGGTTGTAGAGTGGAAAATAGTTAATCACCCACAAGAATGGGTAGACGCGTTTGAACTCTATCAAGATTGGAAAGTGAGGGCTGGGCAGGTCCAGCCCAGCTATGGCAGATTTTGTGAAACTTATCCATTTCTTCTTCGGTGCTTTCTATTGATCACCATATTGAATGATCTCCTTTTCAATTTCAACAAAAAAAAATAACCCCAAAAACAAACAAAAAAAAAAACAAAACAAAACAAAAAACACAAAAAAACTGTCCGACAGTTGCTATTGCCTCAAAACACACTTTGTCATGTTATTATCTTATCCAACTCTGCTTTCATTTTTTCTCCTACTGCGTCTATGATTCAATGATTGTTGATTATAAAACCATCATTGTTTTCTCATCTTGTTTCACATGCTCATAGAATGTTAATATTCAGCCTTTTCATTTCCTATTTTACATTTTCTAACTTTCCACATTGGTACAGTGTTTTAACATTCCATGTTCGAAATTTCTAATCATCCTCTTCGTCTACACAAATGGAACAGGGACGCGGGTTTAGTCGTCGTCAATTCAGTCGTTCGACAAAAATAAGCTGATGAGTACATTTGTCCTGATTCCACGAACACATATTTAGACCATTTTCTCTACTTTTCACGACTGTTGCAGGACTTCTGACCTTGGTCGCAGGAGATCCGTAGATTAGTTCTCAAACCAGCACGAGTGAGGGTTTAAAGTGGGCTTCTGTGAGGTGTGCATTTGATCTGCGTCACCCTTTGGTTCAGATATCTAAGTCTCTTGACGCAGCGATGCGAGACATTGGAAGTCAGAGATTTACTGTTGGGGATTTCCTTTTTCCTAGGAATAGGCTGAGTTGACTGTAAACGTCTGCCACTTCTTCAACACTATAGAAGATCCGAGTTTCCATATATTATAAATAATATGCAGATGCATTTTCTTTTATGTAATTTGAAGCTACAGAAAAGTAGTTTCTGTAGCTTCTTTAATTTCGCAATTTGTTCCAGCTCCCAATACCCTAGCATTTAGCAATGCACATTTGGGGCTTATAGGTTTTCACAGGTTCCAAAACGTTTAAGCGACTAACAATTTAAAGAATGGTTGCTACTACTACTACTACTATTACTGTAGTATATGATTTACTCCAAGAATACCAGGTGATCTGAATCAAATTTAGTGTCGATAAGGAATTTTTCTTCTAAGTTGATCTGTGTTGACCCCATTATGTATTGAGCTTATCAGACTTTGTACTCAGTGCCCTAGAAACCAGGTGCATCAAAAGGTTGATCTGGAAAGTGACCTCATAACTACCGGATTTAGATTCACGCCTCACACAAGATGGCAGTAGCAGCTCCCGGCATGTCAACAAGTGCTCGACCAAGCTTCACTTAGGAAATAATCGAATGACAAAAAGATTAAACACTCTGACCGAGATAGAAAATACATAGAATCTCACACATCCTCGTGAGAGATCCATGTTTGGAGAAAGGCCTCAAAGCCACACAGGCTTACGCCGATGTTACCAGAGGTGAACAGACAACAATTTTACATTGAGAGATTTCGTTTCGTGTTCTTATTACTCCTCCTCCTTCTACTACTACTACTACTACAAGTGTTATCTTCTTTGTCTTTAATGGAAAAATTTGATTTTTGTTGCTTAGTCGCAAACATTTGTGCCGAGAAAAAGTAAATAAATAAAACTTTTTAAAAGGCGTGTCAACTCAACGAGTACAACATTGAAAGAACCGAAATGATCTAAACGACACCATTCATAAACTCATTGTGATTAATAAAGAGAGTGTTAGAATTTTCTACAGACCTGTTGTCACTTGATCTACAGCGAAAGTCTTATTGATCATAATCCTAACCTGAACCCAGTCGTGAAACTTCAATAACATCATAACAAGATGACAAATGTAAAATCATCATCTTAACTTCTCATACCGTAGTCGCTTCTGTTTTCTCGCAAACATTAATAATAGAGAAGAAGATAAAATAATCCAAGATGAATAATAATAATAATAATAATAATAATAATAATATGGGAAGAAATTATTTGAAACTTCAGTCAAAACAAATTCTCACAGTTGTGCAGGAAAGTTAACAATGAAAATAAAAATAAAAAGTTTCGTTTGAAAGCCGTCAACTTCGATAAATTCTAACATGAACAAATGTGCATTGAGACTGAAGTCATGAAACGCGATTTTTCTGCAGTTCCCGCCATGATTTTCCATTTAGGCGGGAAAATGAAAATTCTATTTGTCACGGATTAAGTTAAAAGATTGTTTTAAATCTATTTTTTTATTTCTCTTTTCCATCTTCCTCTCTCTTTTTGTTAGAGTCGCCTCAATCAAAAGACTGTAAACGTGAGTTTGATGCGAAGTCAACCTTTCACACATTCTCTTGACAAAAAATATAGCGTTTCTGAATTGAATGTGTAAACCTCCGACTTAAAAACCGTCTGGTTTGTCGAATCTTAGTTACCTCCCTTCCCTTTGCATTACCACCATCTTCGTCTACCATATTGACAGGATGAATTTTCAAATTGCTTGTAAATCCTAATTATTTTAATCGATTAGGATTTAAATATGGTGTTTTCTTTTTAAATCTCTGTATATTCCCCCCCCCTCTTGTTTGCTCTTTCTCTTCTTTATTTATCTTTGCAAGCGTCTAGTCAAAGAGATAGCACACTACGTGTGCGCATTTGGATTTATCTATAAAATCGGCTTAATGGTTAAGATAGTTGTGTATTCTGGTAATCGATGTTTGGCCCTCAACTAAAAGTCAGTATTATCAGAGTTGGTATGTATGGGTTCGCTATCATTTATCCCCCAACAATAATATAGAAGAAATATATGTAGCTTTTTATATGAAGAAAATGGTCCTAAACGTTTTGCTCTATTAAATGCTGTAGACATTTGGTGGAAATGGATAGAATTATTAGTATCACCACTGAAACTGATCGTTGGCAAAGTATAACACGCCTCACGCTTTCCCGGTAGTAAATTTCCATGCAAAACGCTATAGTGAATTTAATAACGCCTTGTTTCATTAAACAGTAATTATAACTGCAATAAAATATAATAACTTGCTTCACTTGTATCAATTCGATCAACAGTGTCGTAGCGTAATGATGTATACAAGAATAATAAAGAATCAATTTCTTTGGACTTACCTTTTATTTAGCAACAGAGACAACTTGTGAAATCGAAAAGAATTAGACAGAAAATGATTGTTGGTGTTAATTAATATATGGTTTTGATACTAACAACATATCTCGGCATAAAAAGAAACTACTGTACATCGTTTTAAGTATTTTGTCATTGAATTATTTTTTTGCCATGAGAAAAAGAAATAAATAGGCTATCACAAGCCTATTCTTAAAATAACTGCTACTTTAATAATCGCATGTAAAAAATTATTTTCAGTAAAATATTCAGCATTCTATAGAAAGTTCTTATGGAAATTTCTGTGTAGAAAATTCATGAAATGCATGTGAAAAAGAGAGAAAGTTGAAGAGGTGTTCGAAATGGGATGACGTATGCTCTTGAGGTTGAAACTTGTCTACCCGTTGAAGCAAGATTTAATGTTATTTTTTGGCTCCCAGCGAAGGATTTGTTGGGATTCAGTTCTCTGATTTAATTGGTTAAAGATTGTTATTTACGAGAACGCTTTTTTTCTAATCTAAGTGGTTGTAAAATAATATTTCTCTGACATGTTTTATTGATTTGGCCAAACCTTGTCAACTTTGAAGATTGTTCCCGCTCACATTTACTCGTACTTAGGCTTAACAGTTTTAGTCATTTGAGCTTTCAATTTTATTGTGACACTTGTCATATCAACATGCATTTTTAAGAAAATAATTGTCAAAATAAGTGTATTTTTGTTTATTGCTTCTAAATTTGAAGATGGAAAAAATAAGCAAAATATCTGGCTTATTATTTTAAGAAATAAAACGCGATTCAAACGCTAAAATGATATTTTGTGTGGTTTACAGAGAAGGTAATGTGAATGGTCGAACATAAAATTGGTTTGCGTGGTTTAATGATAGAGAGTTATCAGTAAACGATGCTTCCTAGTCGAGTAGACTAGTTGAGGTGGAAATCATGTTATTGAAAATTGTTAATATCATACAAATCAATAGTCAAAGATACAATATATCCGAATCAAGCGTTGTCAAATCATTTGCTGTAACTTAGTAAAGTTGGTTGCGTTGATGTTCGGATTCAACATCAGTTATAACAAAAGAAAACACACACACACACACACACACACACACACACACACACACACACACACACACACACACACACACACACACACGCACGCACACACACACACACACACACACACACACAGAGACTAAAACGGATTGTATTTCGTGTGCGTTTCTCTACTTAAGCGTATCGAAAAAGTTCGGTATTGAAATAAACTGTGTCGGACGACGTAAAGTGGATATTTTACAACAACATGAGAAAAGAGACCGTAGGGAAAACAAAAAGAATCACTACTAACCAAATCACAATCCCGTTTTTTTTTTTTGAAAGAAAGTATGGCGTGAATATGGTGTGTTTAAAAAGGAACCATCTACTATGGGCATATTTTCGAAAAAACAAACAATTGACTCGTACTTCTCCAAATTAGACTAATTGACGACAGTTATCGGTGAGATAAGTTAGTCCGGAATTATATGTCAAGAAGGTGTATAGTATTCCATCAGAAGAAGTAAGACCTCATTTTTTGTGACTAAGTATAACTTTTTACAGCTGGTATCGAAGTTTTCACTAAACTACTGTATTCGGCAAATATTTATTTCGGTTTTTACAGAATTTCTATATATAAAAAATGAATTTTTCTGGAAGACTAAAAAACACATCAAATAATTATTTGTTCAGGAAAAGAAAATGATTTCAATTGGTATAATCATGAAGTTGGAAGAATTATAGCAGACGATTGAGGAAGAAAACAAAAAATATCTTATTCAATAAAAATCATGTTGAATATTTGAAATAAAAACTCGTCTATTTTTATTTAGTAATTCAACATTTTTCAGTTCATTTTGAACTTTTTTTCTTTCTTTCTTTGGTTGTTTTCCTTGATTATTTTGTCGAAGTATTTTTCAGTTCATTTTACACTTTTTCTTTCTTTCTTTCTTTCTTTCTTTCTTTTCTTTCTTTCTTTCTTTCTTTCTTTCTTTCTTTCCCTTACTATTTTGTTGAAGTCTTTCTCTATTTTGCGCTTAATTTCACCGATATTCTTTATTCACTGTTCAAAATAAACATCGAATGACAACACTCCTGTTTTCCCACCAGAAATATAAGGAGAATAGTCAACGATTTTCTTTCAACCAATTAAATCTGAAATCAGAATAATGAATTTAAGCATGAGAGAAATAGAATCAGGGCAAACTATGGAATTCATTTTCGGCAAAACACGCCTTGTTTAAATTTGCTGAAAGCACAATCAGAAAACTGCCCCAAATCAAGGCAGCAACAAAAATATCACAAGTAGCAAAAAATCTTGTGTGCAGAGCCCCACAGTTTTAATTACTATCATTTTTCTTTCTTTGCCATTTTAATCTCGTCTAATCCTAATCCAACGTAATTTAAGTACAAAATAATATATATATATATATATATATATATATATATATATATATATATATATATATATGAAGAGATGCAGAGAAAAAGTGAGATCTGTTATCACAGTTGCCAGACACACCACTATAACTGACACTTGCCAACAATGAAACTAATTAAATTATAACATTTTGGAACAATATTTCCAAATATTACACTGACATTAACCAGTTCGTGACTGACAATTTATCCACAATTTTAATTCCGACGTAAAACATCATGTTCAAAAGTTAGAAAAATTGTTTGTTTTGGATCTCACAGTAGCATAGCATATTATGTTACTTTGTGAGCAGTCATCGTCTTCTGGGCATTTGTATATTGTTTGCTGTTACAGGTGGGATCTATGGATGCTAGTGGTGTACTGGTGATTTTTCTGTTGTATTATTTAATTATCTGTAGCATGTTTTCGGTACAGCTCTATGGAAGTTTTAGATTATTTTTATTGAATATTTTTCCCAGTATGATTGGTTTTAGGAAGTGTTTATCGATAAATATTTTGCCTATATTCTTTTTACATTTTATTATACGGTAGGCTGAAAGTTTCCTTTTCTGTTGTATCTTTATTTCCTGCTCGTTGTAAATGTTCCTTTTGTCGAATAAACACTGTTTTTTTTTTAAATTCTATCATATTACTGGTTTTTGGTATAGTTGAAATTTTTCGTTTGACGAGTTGTTGGATAATCTGTGGTTGATGGAATGGTTTGGTTGATTATGCTTGGTAGGTGCTTAGGGGATGTCAGTATTCATTGTGCGTTGTCGTTTGATTTTTTAAACGTCTATTTAAAATTCTGTTTCTTAAATGTTTATAAACTATTTTGTTTTTCTGTTTTTTATCTGTTGCGGTTTCTTAGCATTATGTGCCTGTCGTATCTGTACAGTCGTATGTCTTTTTGTTAATTATCTTAGTCAGTGTGTCTAGTGTGTGTATATATACATACATGCATACATATATATTAATATATTTTTTGTTTATGCGTTGTTTTTATATATGCAAATATTTAAGTAGATGCTCTGTTTATAATAAACAGTACTAACAACATAAATCGGCCTGAATGTCCAAGAAATTTCACTGAAAATATGTGTCCTACACGAAACAGCCATATAACCTGACGTGCGATATCATTTAATTACAGAGGAAGCGTCTGTTTAGCGAGGTTAAATTACTATTTTTGAACTGCAAACTCGCCATGATTTCTCTTGAACGCTCATATCTGCTCTAAGCGTATCTTAAAGTAAACAAATGACATAATATATATTATGAAAATAATGAATATAATTGTCGGATTTAGTCCATTTTCAATTCAGGCAAGGTCTCATCATTGTACAGTTGAAATGGCTAGATGTAACCGTAAGTTCTGTGCTAACAGTTTCTTCTGTCGCACTTCTCGCTTGTGGAATTCTCTTCCGGCTTCTTGCTTCCTAGTCAACCCTGATCTTCAAATATTTAAATGCAATGTCAATCGTTATTTTCTGCCTTCTTAATTCATGTTCTAATATTGTCCTCTCTCCTTAACAGTAGTTTTTCTTATATTCTATAATAGTCAGTAACGCATTGCGTCCTAGTGGCTTTATTGCTTTCCTTAGGGTGAAATGATTAAAAAAGGGAAATTGAAGGTAAAATACATTGCACTAAGCATTTGTTTAACACACCACCACAAGCTACTACAAAAAAAGCATTAACCAAAAAATCGAATCATATTCTGAAATCGTCTCATCAGATCGACACTTTCATCATGCATAGCACCAAACTGGTTCAGAAATATCTAAACTTTTAACTGTATACAACCTTTTTCTCATATCAATAATTAAAATGGTTTTGAGCAAAGGAAGCCTGAATTTATTA